GGTGCCCTTGTCAAAATCAGTCAGCCTTGACGTGGGGGTTTCTTCCTGGACTTGCAGTTCTATTCCATAGCTATCTTTTTTCTCCCATAACTTATTTTATTTTTATTTTTTGTAGAGGTGAGATCTTGCCACATTGCCCAGCCTGGTCTCAAACTCCTGGGCTCTCCCGCCTCAGCCTCCCAAAGTGCTAGAATGAGACGTGAGCCACTGTACCCCGTTCACGGATGTCTTTAGGTCCATTCCACGCCATTCTGATTACTATAACTTTGCCGAACATTTTGAAGGCAGAAAGTGTGAGTCCTCCTGCTCTGTTCTTCTTTGCCAATATTGTTCCTACTGTCCAGGCAGCCTGCAATTCTGTATGAACTGAGCACCGGCGTTTCCATTTCTGGAAAGAAGAAAAAAGCCCATTGGAACGCTGCCAGAGAACACTATGCACACACGGCCGTGGGCAGGGTAGCCTCTTTCTAGGCAAAGCCTCCCTCCCTGAGCATGTGGGGTCTCCTGTCCCTCGGGCCCTGCCTTCTGGGTAACACGGCCGCGCTCCCCAGCTCCCAGTGTTCTAAAACATGTACCCAGGGTTTGCTTTAACTGGGCGTAGAAAGACACCCAGAGATGGGGTGTCTTGCCATGAGGGAAGGACTTTATGCTCCCAGGGTCCTGGGAACAAGAGGCCCGGCTGACCACGTGGGGAAGCTGAGGTAGGCCGGGCAGAAGGCAGGGCAGGGATCCTCGGGGCCAGCCTGGGGCAGAGGGTCAGCGTGGCTCATGTTGACCTTGATGTGGACTCAGGTGACCACATGTCAGACATGCGTAGGTTGCCCTGAGGCTGTCCTGAGGCCACATGGGAAGGCTGGGGCGGCAGGGATTGCTGTGTGTCCTGGGACTGAATAGTGAGGACAATCCTAGCATGCCCAAGGTCTGGTCACGTTGGTCTCTTTCCCCCAGGAATTTCTTTATTCAGGACACATGTTTAGAGTGTGTACTGGAGGCTGTTTGCCTGTCACTCTGGTTCTCACACAGACTGCTGTGTCTTGTTGCTGGGGTCTCTAAGCCCCAGCTGCTGGGGGCTCCTGGGGCCCTTTGTCCCCAGCAGTTTGGGGCCTTTTTGGGCAGCATCTCCTTACTTCTTGCTTCCTGCCTAGGTGACCTTGGCTTCTGATGTCCTTCAACAAAGTCACTGGGCTCCGTGAGGAAGTGGCTGCTGCAGGGCCAGGCCAGGAACGACCTCTGCACTCCAGCCTGGGCGAGACCCGGCTCTAAGAAAAAACCACCTTGGCCAGCTGTAGTGGCACACACCTGCAGTCCCAGCACTTTAGGAGGCTGAGGCAGAAGGATCACTTTAGGCCAGGAGCTGGAGGCTTCAATGAACTATGATCACCCACGGCACTCCAGCCTGGGTAACAGAATGAGACCCCGACTCTAAAAAAAAAAGAGAGAGAAACTCCCCACAGAAGAACTCCAAATAACGCAAGGACTCCCCGCTCCGCCTGCACTGCTCACTACCAGGTCCTTCCAGACAGGGCAGCATGAGGTGGGCAAGGAGCAACCCCCCCGTGGAGGACCCGGTCCCTCATCTCCCTAGGGGACCGAGGCCAACTCCACAGGTGGGAAGTGTTCCCTTTCCCCCGTGTTCTTCCCCAGAGCCCAGGGCGCCAGGCCCCCGAGGTGGGAGCAAACCCCCAGGGAGGGGCCCCTGATGCTTGACAGCACCTCCACACTGTGTCCCATCCTCACCCAGAGCCCAGGGAGAAGACAGCCACAGCTCACTGGAATCCCATGCGGGATCCTGCCGCAGAAAGAGGGTGTCGTGGGGGGGAGGTCAAGCAACCGTCATGTGGGTTGACAGGACACCACCACCTGGCCCGCTCCCTGAGAATAGTGAGTCACCAGTGTAGACACGGGACGGGCTGGGGCCTCAGGCTCTCTCTACAATGTTTCTAGGAGCCCAACCCTGTTTTAAAACAACAGGCACACTTCTAAAAAGCGAGACAGAAAGGAACACAGAAGCGCAGTCCCAGACCCAGGCAGCCCCGCGGGGCGGCTCAGGCCTGAGACAACCGCCTCCACCGTGTCGCTGTCCCCCCATTCATTGGTGGGTCCCGAGGTCTCCGCCACAGATCAGATGGGCACCACTGCCCCGCCCAGCCTGAACAGGCCCTGCCCAGCCGTCCTGCGTCTGGCCGGGGCCCGATGCCCCCGCTGGTGAGGGCCTGTGCCGCACAGGGACTTTCCAGGCCACCCCAGACCAGACCGCCAGGCAGGGCTGGAGGGTCCCTCTGGGCCCGCCCGGTCAGGTCTCCCCTTTTAGATGCAGGAAACTGCGGTGCCTGATCACCCACCAGGATATGGCCTCCTGGCTGGGAGCCACTCTCAGAATCATGTGTTGGTGTTGGCTCTGCTGAGCCCTGAGGACTACGCCTGCCCCACTGCCACGGCAAGGCCTGTGACGCTCACGTGCGGTGGGGCCCCTCCTCCCTCGCTGCGGCCACACATCTGGGGAGTGGACTCAGGGGACACAGAACCTGCCTGTCATCTCCACACGGGGGAGGGGAGTCGAAGCCAGGAGTCCCCAGCGCAGGTTACCCATCCCTGATGTCACCTTGTTGGGGGGAGACAGCGTCTTCACGAACCAGGTCCTAAGTCCTGGCCATCAGGGTCCCCATATGAAGGGCTTCACGGCTGCTCCTGCCTGTCCCAGTTCAACCTGCCTCCGGGACTGGGGGTCTCACCTCCCACCTGCCCCTGTCCTGCATCTGGGAGGCAGAAGGACGGCCCCTCAGATGCCCATGTGCTGATCCCCAGAACCTGTGGCTGTGGCCTCCAGGACAAAGGGGACTGCACAGGGGTGATGAGGGTTACAGAGCCCGGGAGGGTGACCATCCTGATGCACCAGGTGACCCGACACGATCCTGAGTTCTTCAGACCAGATAATCTTTCCCAGCTGTGGTCAGGAGGAGAGGCTGTGACAAGAGGAGGTCCTGAAGGGGGCAGCAGCTGACTCTGAAGTGGAGGACGGGGCCAGGAGCCACAGAACATGGCAGTCTCCTGGCTGTGGAAGGACAGGGGAAGAGAGCTCCCCCTACCCTGAGCCTCCAGCAGGAACCAACCAGCCATACCTGGGCATTAGTCAGGCAAGACTGGTGTTGGACTTTTATTTTATTTTATTTATTTTTGATATAGGTCTCGCTATATTGCCTAAGCCAGTCTTTATATGCTTGCCTCAAGCGATCCTCCCACCTCAGCCTCCCAAAGCACTGGGATTGCAGCTGTTAGCCACTCGCTGGGCTCCATGTCAGACTTCTGACCTCTTGAACTGCAAGATAATAAGAGCGTGTTGTTTAGTCCACGAGTCTGTGGTAATTCTTACGGCAGCAGAAGGGAATGAAGGCACCATGGCCGTCTGCAGAGCCCCGTGGGCTTGCTGTCTAGAGAGACTCACCAGGGTCTGCTCCAGAATGCAGGGGCCCTTGAAACTGAAATGTGGAGCCCCTGGGTCTCCAACGAGGACCAATCTCAGACTAGTGTCAGGGCAGCGAGCCAGACTCTTCCTCGTGTACTGCCTGGCCCTGCAACGCCCTTCCATCCAGGTGGAGGCATCCCTTCCTGACCTGGGGCTCCAGTCTTGACCCTCCTTGGCAAAATCAACGCTTGCTGCTGTGAGCTGGGAGTTGGGTTGGGTCTCCTGGGGGCCCAGGGCCCTGAGTGGGAGCCCCTGCCCACCCTGCATCCCCCAGGCCTGGGCGGAAACACCTGCAAGAGATGATGCTGTCTGCCTCAGCGGGGGCGGATTCTTCTGAGGGGGAGAGGGCAGATGGGGCCTGGCACTACCTCCCGCCCCTCCCCAACAGGAAGTGGCCCAACCCCATCCTGACTTGACTCGGTCTCCTCGATGAGATGCTGACACTCACAGGCACACGTGGGTGGCCTCACCAGGCCACAGGACGCCTCGTGGCTGCTCTGGAGCAGCCCCTGGGGAGGCTCAGCACTGGCCATGCCTGTGGGACCCCAGTCCTGGATGCTCCCTGCCCTGCCCTCCCAAGAGGGACCCTGTAGTGGCTTCTGCCTCCAGCCACCGGGAAAGATCCGATGGGTCACTCCCAGCGGGGCCAACCTGATCAGGAGCCCCTTCTGGTGCTAGGGACTCCAGGGGCCTGGTGTGGGCAGGGCTGTGACGCCACAGGCTAGGCAGGTGGGAGTGGGAAGGAGGGTGGGGCGGGTCCGTGGCTCCTCTACCTGCTCTGTCCTCCCTCCAAGGCCTCCTAGCCATGGGCTGACCTAGGCGGTGGGTTGCCCTCCCAGCCCCGTCTCCCCACGCTCCAGAAAGACCTATGCAGTGGGTGGACACCCCCAGGCACCGGGCTCTGAGGGCGAGAGGGCCTACTGGGAGGAGGCGCCAATGTGACTGGAAGGGGCCTGACTCCTGCTGTGGCCAGGCTCACCCTTCACGATGTGCACAGGGAATGACCATGCCCTGGCTTCTGCCCAGGGGCAACACTGGAAAGCATCACTCACACTGCCCATGGAGGCAGGACCCCAGGCCCAGCCCAGGAGTGACCCCAGCGCCTGGGTTCTGCCACCCCTGGGGTCGGGACAGGCTCACAGCCAAAGCTGGACAGGCACAGGGTGTCAGACAGGCTGGGTGCTTCCTACCGGATCCTGGAGCCCAGCTGGAAACCTCCACTGGGGACAGCTTGGTGCTGAGGACACCCCACCAGCATTCATTCTTTCACTCACTCATTCAACTCCTTCCACTAAAAACCATCGGTGGGATAGAGCGTCACTGTCTTCAGGCTCCTGATGGACAGGTCTGGGACAGCATCGCCTCCCAAACCACCCCCCACAGTGCGGCTACGAAGGGGCAGAAGCCTCCCAACTCTGAGCCCTGAGTGCCGCCGGCTTATGCATCCTGGTCGCTCTCAGGGGCGAGTCTCCGGACGCCTCAGATGTGCATGTCTTCGGGAACTGGGGGCTGGGGGCTCCCATTGACTTGTTCCCAGCTGGACAAGAAGGGCGTGCATGTTCTGCTGCTGAGCTGCCAGGCCCGGACGCTGCGTGGTGGCCCGGACGCCCTGGAGGCCACTCCTGGCGGGACCCTAGGACTTGACCCTCCCGCGCCTCCGTGGGGCCGCCACGTGGGGAGCCGGCTGTGGGCGGGGCATCCCGAGTAGGCCCTGATTGGCCCAGAGCTAGCCAATCAGAGCACTCACATCCTCACACGCTTGGGCCTGTGTTACGGGCCCTGAGTCAACGAGAGTCTTCCTTGGAGGACGGGGGTGGGGGGCGCAGCTCCTGGCTCAGCGCAGGCCGCCTCTGAGCTGTGTGTCCCTGCCCCGTCCCCAGCCCTGGAGTTCCCTCTCTGTCCCTGCCCCACCCTCGCCACCTGGGCTCCAGAGGGTCCCATCTCCTGAGTCTCGTTCATGGGACCAGAACGGGCGCTGGGGACTCTGAGGAGTCTGTTGAGAGAGCGAGAGGGGAGAGGGGTTGCTGAGCCAGAGGGGTCAGGGACTCCCTGCCGCCCCCGGGATGCTGCTGGGAGTCGGGGTGAAGACGCCCTGGAGTGGGCCCAGAGCCAGCGCGAGCCAGGCAGGCCGGCAGGTGAGAGCAGGGCAAGGCAGGCCTGGAGCAAGAGGGCTGCAGGGGGCGAGTGCCAGGCACAGGGGGCCGGAAGCTCGGAAGCCAGGAGGGAGCTGAAGCAGCCAGGGGGAGTGGGCGGCGGGGTGAATGGACTGGCAGGGACAGCTCTGGAAGGGGGGGCAGGGTGTGATCCTGGGGAGGAGCGTCCATTAGAGACTGGGGGTCTCCTGCCTTTCCCCCCACTTCTGTCTGCTCCTCCCTCTGCGGATGGAGCTCAGATCCCAGCTATGTGTCTAGGGACAGAAGCTGGGGGAGCCTGGACCCCAGGTGGGTTCCTCTCCCGAGCGGGACCTGGAGAGGGGAGGAGGCCACAGCCCAAGGCTGTGCTCTGTGGCTCCAGGATGCTGCTTATAGCCCATGGCTGGTCCCGCTCTGCCTGGACCTGAATGACAGCCAGGTGTCCCAGCCTCACCAGGCTGGGCCCCACTGCTCAGGACAGGGGATCTACCCCGGGTCACCTGAGGCCTGGGGGGCCTGGATGCCCCCAGCAACCTCTGCCATCTGGTCCCTCTGCCTTCTTCCCACAGGTATCTCCCTCGGGGTTCTGCAACCAGGTACTTCCTAACGGAGGTGTGGGGAGAGGGCAGATGAGGCCCAGCAGGACCCGGAGGTGACACTGTCCTTCATGGGGGGGCATGTCTAGGGCTGGGGGCCACACAGGCACACATATTTTGGTGCCATGAGGCCTCCCCTGGGCTGTCCTCCCCTTTCCATTGCAGTGAGTTTGCGTCTTGTGGGAAGCTGCTTTGAGGTTGTGAAAACGTGTCTTGTCGCTCCCCAGACTCCACCCCATGGTCCCATCATCCACAGCGGCTCGTCTGAGCTGGCCCTTGTGGTCACCAGCTGGTGTGTCCTCCCCGCCCCTCAGCAGGGACTCCATGGTGGGAGGACAACCCATCATCCACACCTGTCTGTCTGCATGCCTGTGTCCATGTGATCCTGGGACTGCACTCCACAGCAATCTCTATTCTGATGCTCGAGTCATCCCAGCTGTGGCCAGCAGGAGCCCCTTCAAGCTGATTTCTGTGTCTTAACTTTTTTAACCTTTGAGTCGGGGACGCTCTGTCGCCCAGGCTGGAGTGCGGTGGCACAATCATGGCTCACAGCAGCCTCAACTTCCTGGGCTCAGATGATCCTTCTGCCTCAAATTCCTGAGTAGCTGAGACTATAGGCACAACCCCACAACTATTTTTTAAGTTTTTTGTAAAGACGAGGTCTTGCTATGTTGCCCAGGCTGGTCTCGAGCTCCTGGGCTCAAGCAATCCTCCTGCCACGACCTCTCAAAGTGCCAGAATTACAGGTGTGAGCCATCGTGCCCAGCTTAACTTGCTAAAATTTTGAGATGAAATTCACATGCGATGAAATGATCCGTTATAAAGTGCCCAACTCCGTGGCATTCGGCACAGTCACAACGTTGTGTGACCACTGCTGTATCTAGTTCCAGATACATTCACCCACTAAAAGGAGCCCTGGGAGCCAAGCCCTCCTCTTCTGCACCTCTCCCAGCTGTTTTTGGTGTCTCTACCACTCACTGAGTCCCTTCCTAGCCCCCCACCCATTTTTCGGCACCATAAGATGTCCCAGGCACCTAGTGTCTCTGAGGAGCCCTGGGTATGGGTTGGGGAGCTCGGTGCTCAGAGCCCAAGACCTGGGTGCTGGGTCACTCACCTGCTGTTCCTAAGATGCTACTTCTCTTGCACCCATGGCACTGCTGGGGGGAGTACAGCCGATGGGTGGGAGCTGGGGATGTGAGTGAACATCCCCAAGAAGCGGGGAGGGGTTAGTTAGGAAGGCTTCCTGGAGGAAGGGCCCTCCAATGCCCCACCATTTGGCTTAGGGTGTGGCTGGCCCCAGGTTTCAGAGGCAGAAGGTCAGATTGTAGGAGGCCATGCTGCCCTGGCCTGTTCATGGCCGTGGCAGGCCAACCTCCGTCTGCAGCGGGTGCATGTGTATGGAAGGTGGGTGCTCATAGCCACCCACTGCTTCTCTGGGTGTCCAAAGTGGGCGGGGGCTGTCTGGACGCCCAGGCCTGTACAGGGTAGGAGGCAGCGCAGTGGCCTCCACTCAGCCTTTGACTCAACCCTAGACCTGGGAATGCCGTGCCTGTGTCCCCTTCAGTAAAAGAGCAGAACACCATTACCACCTGTCCACCAGCTGCAGCCCCAGGGTTCAGAGAGCATTCCTGGCCGCCACACTGGTTGGCACTGGCCTCACTGGTGTGAGGTTTATTTGGTTTTTTGTTTTTTTTTTTTTTTTTGAGTTGGAGTCTCACTCTGTCGCCCAGACTTGGAGTGCAGTGGCCGCTCCCGGCCACCGCAGCCTCGACCTGCTGGGCTCCGGCGATCCTTCCACCTCAGCCTTCCAAGTAGCTGGAACTACAGGTGCGCGCTACCACACCTGGCTGATTTTTTGATTTGTTGTAGAGATGAGGTCTCGCCAAGTTGCCCAGGTGGTGAGGTTTCTGCAGGTCTTTGCCTGCCTCTGGGGGCAGGAAGCTCCCCTCTCCCCACTGCCTGTCACCTCTTCTCCTGGAACTGAAACCTAAGCTCCACCTCCTGACCAGCCCCTCTGGGTCTCAGGTATGTCACTGGCTTCCAGCTGGGGGAGCTGGCAGGACTCCTATGGTCCCTGAGTGGGGGGTGCCACCCAGGACTTGGCCCCCATACCCAGAGCAGCTGCTTCTGCACCTCAAGCTGAGAGAGCTGGACACAGACCCGGGCAGGAGTGGGTCTGGGCAGGCTCCACGCTGACCTCCGGCTTCTGCAGCAGGCCACTTCCAGGGTGATGCTCCCACCCTGTCCACTCTCCCTTCCCAAGGTCCCCGAACTCCTTCAACTACCAGGTCCATCTGGGAGAGCTGGCCATCATGTGGTCCCCCTGCTTCTCCACTGTGAGGCAGGTCATCCTCTACTCCAGCCCCCCAGGACCACCCGGGTCCAGTGGGGACTTTGTCCTGGTGCAGCTGAGCACCCTCGTGGCCCTCACCAGCTGGGTCCTGCCTGTTGGCCTCCCTGAGGCCTCTGCTGACTTCTACCCCTCTGTCCCGGGACTCGGTGCTGGGTAACCAGCTGGGGCTATATGCAGGAGGGAGGTGAGGACCGCCCCATGGGGGCACAGGGATGGCGGAAGACAAGGGCCGCCAAGCAGCGCAGGGAGCAAGGGGACCTCATGCTGCCACCACCCGCCTCTGGCAGCCTTGACACCCAAGGCAAGCCTGCCCCATCTTAAAAGTCTACTGTGGAATCCATACCAAGGGCCAGACATCTGATTCCAAGCAATGTGCCCAGGTCATGGTCACCACGGGCAGGACTTGTATCTGAGTAAGGGTCCCCTCCATACAGAGCAAGAGCTGATGCCTGCCCCTCCTTCCCAGAGCCTCTGCCACCCCCATACCACCTACAGGAGGTGGCAGTCTCTATAGTGGACACAAAGACCTACAGCCAGGACTATCCCAGCCCAGAGGGCAGTACCATTCAGCCGGACATGTTGTGTGCCCAGGACCCCAGGGACGCCTGCCAGGTGAGTCAACCCGTCATGGAGGAAGGGGGCACCCAGAGCCCGGGGAGGGCTCCCCAGCCCTCACTCTCCTCTGCCCCCAGGACAGCTCCAGAGGGCCCCTGGTCTGCCAGGTGGATGGCTCCTGGCTTCAGACTGGCATCATGAGCTGGGGCAAGGGCTGTGGCCATCCTGACCGGCTGGGGGTCAATACCCGTGTCACTGGCTACGCGGGCTGGATCCGCCAGCATCGTGGGACTCAAGGTCTGGATGGCCGGGGCTCCCCCATCCTGGCTGGCTTATTCCTCCCAGGCCTCCTCCTCCTGCTAGTCTCCTGTGTTCTGACAGCCAATTGCCAGCTGCAAGTCTGGGGTCGTGCTCCCTCCCCAACCTCTGACCCCTGATGCTGACGGCAGGAATCCATTTCTTAAATAAGTTAGTATTTATTCTGTTTTGCTCCCTCCCCTTTCCCTTGACTTGAGAAGCTGAGTTTTCTGCATCAGATTATTGCAACATTTAACCTGAATTTATAAAACGGATGAAATGAACAAAGGATGTCAACTGAAGCCTCGCAGCCAAAGCCCCCCAGATGGGTAGGCACCCCACCAGCACTGAGGCCAGGAGTCTTATTGCACGGGTCCCAACTCCCTGGTGACCTGGCCATGTCTTGGAGAGTCACTGTGATGTTTCTGGGAATACCCAAGTGGAAGGGGCCAGGGAGTGGTGTGGAGGGGAGCATGGTGAGGGTGTGACAGACGGACATAAACTCAGACAGTGAGCGAAGGTGACCCTTGGCCGCGGTGGCCTAGGGGACTGCACCTGCTGCTGGCAAGGGCACAGGGCCCCCAAGCATGTGCTCCCCAGAAAAGTGAGTGGACAGTGAGGATGGAGCTCAGGTGCTCCTCCCGTGCCGTGGGCTCTGGTCTTTGTTCCACAAGGGCAGCCTGTCTCGGGACAGGACTGCTAACCCAACTGCCGCCCAGCCTTGGAGGGCAGTGGCAACACTTGGAAGAACCCAAACCGAATCCATATGGTGGAGGTTTGCATGGCCCTGGAGTGTCTTCCTGCTTTATCTGGCAGGGCCTCTCCCTGGGCTGATGTCCTCCCGGGGCCCCTCTGCCCACAGTGGGACCCGACCCAGGGCCTACACACAGCCCTGCCTGGGACCACCACCCCACCAGGGACCCCAGACCCCAGTGCCAAGCCCGGTGTGCACTGAGTTCCAGGCTACACAGGCTCATCTGTGTTGTCCGCAGGGGCAGGGGCAGCTGGAGAGGACCCTGGTCTCTTCAGGGGGCTCTGGGGGACTGTGAGGTACACCCCCTGCCTCTTATCTTCGGGGTCACCAGAGGGCACGGGAGGCTCTGGTTCTTGGGATTCCAGAGGCGCTGATGCCCCCAAGGAGGAAGCTCTGGGCTCTGGGGTCAGGTTATGGCCACTGTCCAAGAAGGGATCCCCAGCAGGGCCCCCGAGATCAAGTGGCTCAAAAGCAAAGCTGGGGATGGTCAGGTGCTCTGCCCGGCAGGAAGCCTGGGCCCAGTGCTCCCCCTTGGCCATGGGGTCGCCTCCCACACCCAGGCCTTCCGTGGGCTCCAGGAAGTCCCTGTGGGGGGCCTCACAGGATGGGGTTCTGCGTCGCAGGGTGGTGCTGCCGTTCTCTGTGGCGGGGGGCCGCGTGGCACCCTCATCCTCTGCAGGGGGGTCCACAGAGATGCAGGGAGGGCTCATCTTCTTCTTTCTGCGAGCGCCCAGGGCCGGCTCGGCCTCTGGGCCCCAGGCCTTCACCTCCCCAGACTCCCCGCCGCCCAGCTCTGCTGAGGGCCACCGCGGCACCTCTGCCAGGCCTGGCTTGTCTAGGAAGCCCTGGGCATCCACACTGTAGAAACTGTGAAGGTCCCGCTCGCCACCATGGGCCGTGGGGGAGCCCTCGGGGCCGCGGGACTCGGCTGGGGGCTGCCAGGGGGGCGCCGAGCTGGTGATGTGGCTGACCTCCTCGTCGGCTGGGTCTGAGACCTCGGTGTCATCTCCGCCGGGGGCTGCCAGCTGGCTGGAGATGCAGCGCTGCCCGAAAGTGTGCCTCCGGGTGCGGACGCCGGCGGGCCGTGGGGAGCATGATAGGGACCGCAGAGAGCCCCTCAGGAACGCCAGCCTTGCCGGGGACTTCTCCACAGGCTCCCCAGACTCTGGGGCGCCATCCCCAGGGCCATCCACCTGCCCTTCCAGAGAATCAGTGCGCATGGCCTCCTGTACAGGCATGGGGTCATGGTGAGGCTAAGACCCCAGGGGAGGCTGGCCAGCAGCCAGGGCTGGGAACTCCCCATACAGATCCTGGGAGTGGGCATGTCCCTGACCCTCCAAGGCTGGGAGCTGCTGGGGCGGATGGTTGCGGACCCTCAGGCCAACCCTGACCGGAGGTTCCCGGGGCACACGCCTGCGCCCACTCTGGGTGAGCAGCAATCGAGGGGAGCCCTGGGAGGTCTGAGTACCTGCGGGCAGAGACTGCTGTGGGCCCTGGAAGCCCCTGAGGGCACCTCCCCACCCACGAATGCTGGCAGCCCAGCCAAGCACCCCAAGGATGGGATTCTTTCACAGCACCCTAGAGGGCGGAGGGCTCTTGCGCCCGGGAGCTGGGGTGGGGCAGCAGCAGCAGGTGGGTGAGACCAGGTGGTCTGAGCACAAGCCAGGACCAGAGGGACCAGCACTCTGGTCACGGTGGGGCCTGAGGCTGGGGCCTGAGGAGATCAGGTGCTCTGTGGTCAGGGGTTCATGCCCTAAGTGCCCACCTGGGCTCTGCACCCCAAGATCCACTAAGCAGCAGAGAGAAAACTCCGGAGGCCCAAGGACACAGCCCTCCCTCCTGGGCCTCAGCCTTGGTCATTCTTTAAAAGAGAAGGAAGCCCTCAAGCCCCCAGGGCCTCAGCTGCAGGGCAGGGGCTTCTCCTACCTGTCTGCAGAGCAGTCGGCTGAAGCTGGGGGAGCGTGGCATGCCCCGAGGGGAGAGGACATGGAGGGTGTCGCTGCCCCTGGCAGGGGAGGACGCGGCTGACGGGGCCTGGAGGGAGGCGCAGGACTCCACAGGCGGAGAGTGAGCAGAGACCACGGAGCCTGAGTCAGGGAAGCGCCTGAGAATGGAGGCCTGTGGCCCCACCCATGCCCTCCCTCCCAGCCCCTGCTGTCCCACCATCCACGTCCACCCTCCCGTTCGCCCCACCCTCCAGCTGGCCCTGCTGGGAGTCGTACTTGAGGGGCTGCCATGCCCATAGGTCTCCATCTCCACCTCCTGCAGAGGAACAGGGCGGGGGGCCGAGGCAGGCACCACGGGCCGGAACATGTAGCTGTCGTTGGGCAGCGAGAACATCCTGGACACCGACACCTTGCGCGCCACCAGGAGGTTTGGGGCATCCGGGCTCTCCTGGGGGGAGGGGGGCCCATCTGTGTCAGCCTGGTGGCCGCCTCTGGGGCCCCTGACCGGGGACCCCGGCGCCATCTCCAGCTCGAGCTCGGCGTCCATGTCTGCATCCTCACGGGCCTCCTTGTTGCTCTCTTCCAGGTGCTTCATGAGCACGGCCACCACCACGTTGACGAGCACAAACTGTGCTACCAGCACGAAGGTCACGAAGTAGACAGGCGACAGTGCCGGCAGGTAGCTGAGGCAGTGCTTGTCTTCGCGGGCACACTCACGCAGAGTGTCCTGCAGGATGGTAGCACCTCAGGGCTGGTTGTCGTCCTCCCACCTTTTCCCTGCCCAGACCCTTGAAGCCACATACCCTGGGGGCTGCCCACACAGGGGCCGCCTCTCTGGCTTTTCTCCCCACCTGGGGCAGATCACAGTGGGTACCTTCATGATTCCATTCCAGTTGTCCCCAGTAGACACACGAAACAGTGTGAGAAAGGCCATGCCGAAGTTGGTAAAGGTGGCATGCCTGCTCAGGCCCTCACACGGGTTGTCCTCACTGCATTCTGTAGGGAGGGAGGCCTGGTCAGGTGCCTGCCCCATGTGGAGCAGACAGCGCACACACCCGGCCTCTGCGAGGCTCCTGGGGACACGGCGGCAGGGACAGCTGAGCCAGACGGAACAAGGCCTGGGAAGTTGGACTCGCCCAGCAGAGGCTGCACGTATGATCCCAAGTGCTCGTCTGTCCCAGTGTCACAAGCCTGGAAACACGTCTCTGTGTGTGACATGTCTGTGTATGTGGGTGCTTGTGTGGAGCCTGCTGTGTTGGCCTCATGTGGCGAAGGGCCACAGCAGGGCTGGATCGGGGCACTCAGGAAGCTTGCGGTCCTGCCTGGGCCCTGAACTGTCTGCAAACGTGTGCCTTCGAGTGAACGGGCAGACAGTCGCCTCCCTGGACCCCGCATCTCCCAGGGGCAGGTGCGCCAACCACTCACCAAGTCTCCCAAACAGCTCCACTCCCAGGGCAGCATAGATAAAAAACAGGAGCATGAAAAGAAGGCCAAGGTTCCCTACCTACACGAGAAAGAAGCAGAGCAGGGTCAGGATGGGGTGAGGCAGCCACAGCCCCGTCCTGCAGGGCACTTGGTGCCACCTGGCCACTCTGTCCCCAGTGCTCCTGCCAGGCAAGGTGGGAGCAAGTTCCAAAGCCAGCTGGGACCCTGTTCCTAAGCCTCATGTACTTCCTGGCCTACAGTCGCCTGTGGCCCTTGTGTGTCTGGCGCCCTTCCCAAGTCAGCCCTTCCTGGCCTGCCCCCACCCACCTTGACTCCTCAGGCCTGCCCTACACCCCTGGACCCCACACATCGTCTAGCAGGTTCTCCTGCTCCCCAGTGACTAGGAAGGTCTCCCAGGTGGCTCTGCATACCCTGTGCGGGAGCCACCTCCGGCCCTGGAATCCCACGGTGAGGCAGTGGTGCTCAGCAGGTAGGCCACAGTGCATGTGAGCCATAGCCAGCCCACACCTGACTTCTGCACACACTGCACCCCTCAGGGTGCCCCTGTCTCCCCACCTCCCATGCCCTGACCCGGGCTGCTCCCTGCCCACCAAGACATTATCACTGGGGCATGGCCAGGCCCAGCCTCCCTCCCTGTGCCTGCTCCAGACAGCTGAGCACCAGACAGAGCACCAAGGAGCACTTGGGAATGTTACTTGGCCAGGAATAGGAACGTCGCCCTGGGTGTGGGCAGGATGGTCCCGGTGGGAGACAGAGAGGCCCAGCAGGGACACCCAATGGATGGCACACAGATAGGGTTGGCCAGAAAGGGGGAGGAGCAGGGGCAGGGGCAGCTGTGAGGGCCAGCGGGTGGCTGAGACAGTGGCTGGGCTGGTGCATGGACAGACACTGAGGGTGGGTGGGTGGATCAGGGATGGGTACAGAGGAACTGAGTGGCACAGGATGGGGCAATGCAGTGGGTCTCTTTTAGCTCCAGAGACCAGAAAGAATTTGGTTGGGAGCTGTGGCAGAGGAAGTGGAAGACTGGCCCGAGGAGGACATCTTCATCCTTGGCATGGTCCTTGGCCCAGACACACCCACCTTGGTCATCCTGCTGCCTGCCCTCTGCCCCAAACCCTCCAGCTTTGCAAGACCCCTGCCTCCGGAAATGAAGCAGAGGAGGTAGACAGTCTTGCCTGGAGGACTGAGGCCTGGAGTACAAGTGGCCGTGTCCACCCATCCCAGCTCAGCTACGCCATGCATGGCACATGGCAGGGTCACTAGTGCAGTGACTGCAGGACTGCATGACCAGATGGGTAAGAGAAAGAGGGAAGGGATGGGGATGGAGACCCTCATCCTCTCAGGGCAGCTGTGATGCCCACCCTTGGGTAGGCTGGGTTCCCACCTACCTGGGGCAGGGCTTGAACCACGGTGTCCAGCAGGGCCCGCATGCCTGTGGCCATCTTGAGCAGCTTCAGCACTAGGGCCAGGAGCCAAGGGTCAGCAGAGAGGGACAGGGCCCAGCAGCCCTGGGGACCCTAGATGTCCCATCTCTCACTTCCTCTCCGGGGTTGGGAATCACCACCCTCCACCTGCAGACAGCCCAGGGCTGCCAGGCCAAAGGCAGGCCCAGGAGGGACACGGCCCGGGCTCAGGGCACCTACCGCGGGCAATGCGGAGCACACGCATGATGCGGATGATGGTTGGGTTGATGGGCAGTGCGGCGTTCATCTCGATCTCCTCCAGCGTGATGCCCATGAGTGACAGCAGCACAATGGCCAGGTCCAGCTGGTTCCACCTGTACAGCAGCAGGCTCAGTGCATGGCACCCACCCAGTCCACCCGGCCGCTGGCACAGTCTCCTCTCGGGGTCCCGTGGCTCAGCCTGCCCCTACACTCGGCACCCTTGCCTTGGCAGACCATCAAGAACAAGGGCTGCAGATCTCAGCTGTCCCGCCCAAGAGCAGGAGGTCCCCGGGACTGCTAGGTGGTCCCTGCCCCACACACCTGTCCTTGAAGAACCGCCGGAAACCAAATGCAACCAGCTTCAGCGCCGCCTCAAAGACAAAGACGACGGTGAACACGTAGTTGCAGTACTTGAGGGCCTCGTCCAGCGACTGGGGAAGGAGGGTCAGGCTGGCTGAGGAGGCCCTAGGGCCAGGGCTACCCTTCCCCCTGTTCCCACTTCAGCCCCACATGCCAGCCGCCCAGCCATCTCCCTACATGGCCTGTGAGCGCCCCCACCTGCTTCTGCCCTGCAGCTGTGGTCCCACATCAGCTTAGCCATTCCTCCCTGGGCACCCCCACTCCTCCTCCAGTATGGCATACAGGTGGTGGTCCATAAGTGGCCAGTTGAGTGAATGAATAAAAAGATGTTCCCTCTCCCCATAGTGTCTGCTGGCCCAGCGAAACACCTCCAGGAAGCTGCCCTGAGCCGCCAGCCTGGTTTTCACCCTGCGGCCATCTGGGTGCCCCAGTGACGATCCTGGACATCCCAGCCAACCCCTGTCTTCCACTGACCTCTGGGGCACAGGAACGAGACTCACAGAGCCCAGCGATAGAGCAGCAGGCCTGGGAGGCATTGCCCCATGAATCCTGACACACTTCTAAGGACAAGCCTCAGGTGACAGGAGGACTTGGGCCCTTCCAGCCCGGGCTGCAGCCCGTCCACGGCCACAGCCTTTGACTTCACAACAAATGGCGTTTCTGTAAAGCTGAGTTTATTCCAACTAAAGGCTCTGCTGTCCTGAGACCACACCCTTCCTCTGAAGGGAAACACATCTCTCCTTTAACAAGGTGATGGAGACACACATGGGGTTAGAGTGAAACGACACCCCCCACCTCCGGCCTGCCTGTCTCCCCAGCCCTTTCCTCCTGGTGGGGCGTCCATAGCCAGGTAGGGCAAGCCCCCCAGGGCAGGTGCCTAGAAGCCGCAACTGACTTTAAGAGGACGGTTCTTTGTTCACACGAAGGCTACACATCCCAACAAACCCCAGCAAGGCCTCACAGGCACCGGCCCAGGGCTGTGACCTCCACGCAGCTGCCTGTGGGAGCACCCCATGGTCCCACGGTCCCCTGGCTGGGTCTGGCCAAAGGGAAGGAGCCCACCTTGGGCTGGTTGTAGTGCTCCATTGACATGGTGATGACATTGACACAGATGATGAAGGTGATGAAGAGGTCCAGGTAGTGGCTCGTGCACAGGGAATGGATGGAGCGGCGGGTGGGCGAGTAGTCGGCGTAGTAGGGTCGGCGCTGGGCCTCTGTGGGGAGGGTCGCGGTAAGCACCCCTGCAGCAGGTCCTGCACCCGTGGCACCTGGAGCCCCATCCCCCTCCCGAAGGCCAAGCGTGTGTGGGAGGAGCAGCGGCTCGGAAGTGAGGACGGGGCCGGCTCTGCCTTGAGTGTGCTTGCACGTGGCCAAAGTGGGGGATTCTCTTGGGAGACAGGCCCTGTTTTAGGTAAGATGTGGCTTCCTGGGAGGGAGGCTGGGCCAAGGACCACGCCAGGAAAGCCTGTGTGGGAGTGGGCCTTGGGAGGACGAACCTCCTCAACTCTGAGGTCCCATGCCAGGCAGTTCCCAGGAGTGAATGCGGAGCTGACAGGGCCTCACCACACCCCAGACTCCGACTCCTGGGGCTCCTGGGCTGGGGCAGCCAGGGGCTCAGGCTACGGCCCACCTTGGGCCTCGGAGTGTGACACTGATGATGCAGGACTGGGCGGGGTGGCCTGCCCCCTCCTCCATCTCCAGGTCTGGGCTCTGCAAGGCCCCACAGAGACACAGATGAGAGTACGAGTTGCCTGCTGGTGACCAGCCAGTCCCTCCTGTCCCTGTCCTCCAAGAGGTCACTGGCAACTGCCCATGGTCTAGAGTCTGCCAGATGCTGGCCCATTTGAGGTCAACACCCATGACAGGGAGACAGGCGCCTTCCTGGGGTCACCTCTCCTTGCATGCCCCAGCAAGTTTGTCTGTACTAAATGCTCTGCCTGTAGCACCCCTCACCCAGTGTGGCACTCCTGCAGGTGAGGTGTGAGCTGCTGCTGTACCCTGGGACGGGCCTCGGCCACAGAACCATGCACAGGCAGGGCCCCTGCCCAGGGCCTGGGAGCACAGGTGCTGACAGGAACGCCCCCACCCGGACCTCCGTGCGTCACAGGCCAGCATGCGGTCACGAGAGAGCTCAACTCAGCTCGGGCAGCTAGGGGAAGCTGGCAGCCGGCTGGGCCAGGACAGCATGGAGCACACAGAGCAGCCACAAGCAGGCAGGAGTGTGGGTGGCTCCTCCTAGCCTGAGAATCCCAGCACACAGCAGAGAAGCAGGAAGGCACGCAAGCTGGGCAGAGGAACACGCATGCACACGGGCAGCAACCTGGGCACCAGCAAGTGAGTGCAGCCCCTCCCATGCCACAGACACCCGCCACCTCCAGCCACCAGTGCCCACCCTGTGGAGGACCCCAGAGTGCCTGGAACACCTGCCCTTCCCCGTGCTGTGGCCGCAGAAGCAGGGCCTGAAGCATGCGGGGCGGGGCCAGTACCTGGGTTGGGGGCAGTGCCTGGAAAGACAAGGACATGGTCTGAGTGGCTCGGGCGCGGGCGGGGTTCGGCCGCTGAGGCGGCTCTCCCCAGCACCTCCGCCTGTTTGGGGGATGCACTGGCTCCCCATGGGGTGAGAACTCAGGGTGGGCCTGCCCCTCGGGCATCTCATCTGTCTCCTGCCTGGCGGGCCCCCCAGCTGCCCTCTCCTGCGGCCCCTTCCAGGCCTGGGCCCCGTGCAGGCCCAGGCAAGGCAGCAGCGTGCAGAGCCATTCGGGGAGGCTGGGCTGGGCAGCAGAACTCCAGCTCCCTCTGCACAGCAAGTGCTGGCTGGCGGCTAGAGGGGCTGGCGGACGCGCAGGTACCGACCCGCCACCGCCACCGGGAGCGCCTTACTCCTGCGCCTCCTCTCCAGGCGCCTCAGCCGCTTCTCCTCGCGCCGCCGTGCCTCCTCAGCCTCCTGGTGCTGCCGGCACTTATGGAAGTTCTCGACCACAACACCCACGAACATGTTGAGCACGAAGAAGCTGACGATGAGCAGGAAGGAGATGAAGTACAGCAGCATCCAGGGGTTGTGGTTCTGCACCGGCTGCAGCACAGAGATCGTGGGTCCCCTGCCCGCCCTGCAACGTGCCCTGCCTGGGCCGCCCTGGGCCCCTAGCCTCACAGTGGAGCATCCCGGAAGCTCTCGGAGGCCAAGATGGCCTCTTCGGGGAAGGCCCCTGAGGGGACTCGCTTAACCTGAAGGCCCAGGTCATGGTTGAGGACACCCAAGGTGCCGCCCCAATCCCATGCGCACCTGCTGGTCGATGCCCACAGCGTCCAGCCCGTCGTACATGATGTTCACCCAGCCGTCCTTGGACGACAGCACGAACAGCGACATCAGGGCCTGAGGGACAGAGCCAGGGCCACTGACCGTGAACACTGCCCCCCACCTCCCAGGGGGCTCTGAGACCACTGTCTCCCGCCTGGCACCCACCTGGCCCAGGTTGTCGAAGTTGTACTTGCGCCGCACCCAGCGGTAGTGGGCGGCCCGGCACTCGGCCTTGGTGGAGATGTTCCTGGTGTCGGCACCCTCACAGTAGTAGAACTTCCCCTTGAAGAGCTGACCGGGTGGAGCGGTCACCCAGAAGGCCTGGCCCACGCACCCCATGCCACACAGGGCCACCCGGGGCTCTGGGGCGTGAGAGAGACCTGGGCTGACCCTCCCAAGCCCGCCGTCACTCTGCTCTCGGCCATATCCGGGGAGGGCCAGACCGCTCCGTGGAGGGCAGAGCACGGGCACGCAGGGACCACGCACCTGCACCCCCAGGATGCCGAAGATGATGAAGAAGGCACAGCAGATGAGGACAATGTTCCCGATGGGCCTGAGCGAGGATATCAGTGTCTCCACCACCAGCTTGAGGCCTGGAGCCCGGCTGATGACCCTGGGGCAGACAAGGGGAAGTGCTGATGGGGTCACCTCGGGCAGCAGCCACGACACATGCAACGACCCCAAGCGGGGCTGCAGCGGCCCAGGGCCACAAGGGCTATGACGGGTGGCAGGGTTGGAGGAGGGATGTGCTTCCAGATCCACTCCAGACACCCACGGATGCCCCCGCCCCCACCTCAAAGGCCGCAGGGTCCTCAGCAGGCGCAGCACACGCAGGATGCCCAGGATCTTGGCGCCGCCCGCCGAGGCCATGGCCACAACGATGTCGACCAGGGACACCAGCACTAGCAGCCCGTCCAGCAGGTTCCAGCTGCTCTGCAGGTAGGCATGCTCGCCCGACAGCAGCCCCAGGGCCGCCACCTGCAGAGCAGGCAGTGCTGTGCTCAGGTTTGGGGTGGGGGCTCCTGCAGAGCCAGGGTACAGCCGGGCAGGGCTGCTGGGTGAACAGGGACCCGTGAGGTGGGTGGACAGACCCTGGCCTCCCTCAGTACCTTCACCATCATCTCGGTCACGAAGATGGCTGTGAAGATGTAGTTGGAGACACTGAGGAAGGCCCGCTCCTGCAGGGAGAGGGCAGCGGGGGCTGTGGCCATGCCAGCCCTCCCTGGGGGGCCTTGGTGGGTCCCAGGACCATGAGGGCAGCCGACTCACGGTGCTACCGGGGTCAATGTCAGGTCGCTCCAGGGCAATGGTGATGCAGTTGAGGAAGATGAAGACGAGGACCACGTGATCAAACATCTTGTGTGCGATAATCTTCTGGCAGGAGACTCGGAACCTGGGGTAGGGCAGGTCAGGTGAGAGGTGGGGCCGAGGCAGCATGGAGGGTGGCAAGGACAGGGGTCTGAGGACACCCTGGCAAAGCCTCTGCTTCAGCCGGGTCCCTGTTGTCTTGGAGATGGGATGCCCACCTAGGATGCCCACCACGTGCCTGCCCCATCCAGGGGGCACCCAAGGATGGGGGAGTCCATGGGGAGTCAGCCTGGGGCGGGGATTGGGCCTGTACAGCCGCCCCCGGGCCACCTCACCGGTTCTGCGGGGAGAAGAGGTAGAGGGCCCAGGACTCGCGGTTCCGGCACCACTGGGGCCGGTAGGGCTCCAGCACCTTGTGTAGACGGAAGCAGCAGCTCTGGGAGAAAAGAGTGGATCCTAAGCCCGGTGCCTGTCAGTTGCCCCCAGGTCCTCTGGGTTGAGCCACCCCTGCCGGCCCCTAATCACTCTGCTCCCCGGGGTTTCTAGGAGGTAGTCTGTCCTCACTTGCCTGCCCTCAGGCCTCTAAGATCCAAGTCATTGAGCCTCCCCTTCTCCACCCAGGCAGTGGGGACAACCCATGTTGACAGAGTCCACAGGGCCTCCCTCTCCCCACCACATGGCTGCCCCTCGTGGGAAAGGCTCCACCCTGGACCCCAGGGAGGCGACTCTCGGATGGGAGGCGGCTGAGCCCTGCTAGACTCCTCCCTGCCCAGCCTACCTCCCTTCGCCGCCCGAGTTCCCCAGTGAATGATGGAGTCCCATCTCCAATTCTGCTCCGGGGAACCGGCCCCAGATGGAAGAGGCAAGGGGGCAGCTAGGAGCTTGGGGCCCTGCCACTTACATCCTCCACATCATCGTCTAACTCGGCCGGGTCATCTTTGTGGCTGTCAATGCGCAGGAAGAACTCACTGGGCAGGGCCACAGTTTGTCCATTGCAGTCATGGCACTTGGCAGGCAGGAGGGTGGCTGGCCGTGGGGGCCGTGGGTCCAGGGACTCAGCACGCCGCAGTGGGGTGGCCCGGGGCCTGGGTGTGGCTCTGCCATCCTCAGCCTCATCATCTGTGCTGCCCTTGCCCTCACCGGACAGCAGCGACTCACGCTCCCCGCACTGGCTGCGGCGCTTGAGGCTGGGTGCACGGCCCAGGCTGCTCCAGCTTGAGCGCCGGCTGCTCCAGGCACCACTGGAGCCCCAGGTGGCACAGGGAGAGCTGCGGAGACTGGCCTAGGAGGGGAAGAAAGTGAAGGCCGGTGTAGGCCTGGAGTGTCTGCCCTGGGTGCCCTCATGTGCCCTGGACTCCCAGCCTGGGGGCCTTTCCCCATCAACAACATCACTATTGACACCAACCACTGGCATTTAGGGAGCACCTACTGTGTGCCAACTTGTACACCGACTGCTTGTTGTACAAACAATTCTACAAGGGAGACACTAGGGGGACACTGAGACAGCCATAGACACAGCTGAGGGTTGACGGCCGTGGCTCTGCCTGGACAAGGGCCAGAGGGAAGGCCTGGGTGATCCAAGGGACCAGGACCAATCCTGGGCCAGACGAGACACAGGCTAGTATTCCAGGGAGCTTGCTAGCTCTGTGGCTCCGCAGATGTCACCCCCGGCTGCTGACCTCAGTCTCTGGGGTGGGCCCAAGTCAGTATCATCACTCGCCGATAGCTGCCCCAGAGGCTCAGCTGTGGCTTCTTGGTTATGGACGTGATCACCTCATCTTAACGCTTTCCCGGAACCTGCCCCAGACTCACATCAGCCCTCTCTCCCCTCAGCTCAGGAAGGCTTGTATTGTTCTGGCCCCCTCAGGGGGCCCTTCTCAGAAGTCTGTTTTGGCTGTGTCTGTTGGGGCGGCACTGCCTGGAGTTTGTTTCAGAAGCTGTCCATGAGACGCTGGGATGTACACAGAATCACATGGCCATCCTACACCCTGGCCATCTCTGCCTGCTCCTGAGCCCTTGTTTAGCTTCCTCCTGATGTTCCCCGTACTCTGTGTGTCTTTCCCCAGCTAGACTGTGAAGGCACATGGGAACTTCTACAAATGTCTGTCCACAACAGCCCGGTACAGAACACAAAACATTTGTCTTTCTTGGTCTCTGCACAGGACTAGGGTTTTATGGGGTGTGGCTCATCTTTGGGGAGGGTCAAAAGGAGCTGGGCAGGGGGAAAGGTACCAGAGCCTTCTGGTCCCCCAGCTGAGGGTCCCCGGAGCTGCTGCTGCCGCGTCGTGAGTCCAGAAAGCTGTGAGCCACATCCAGGTTTGGGGAGTTCTTGGGGGTGGGCATGGGCGTGGCTGCTGTGCGCATGATGAGGGGAGGGGGCAGGCTGCCTCGGCCCTCCAAGTGCCCATTAGGGGTCACAGCCAGTGAGCACATCTTCAGCTCTGGGGGGCAGAAGGGAAGCAGGAGTGAGCCCTTGAGCTTCCAAGTTCCCAGGACTGGGGATCTACCACCCACAACTTACCCTGGGGGCCTGGCTGAACCAGGAATGGGCATGCCCCACCCACCAGGACCCCATCCCCATGGTCTGTGCACATACCCGTGGCCTGGAGGTCTCTGAACTTGTCGAAATCCTCCTCAAAGGGGCTGGATGTCTTGTCCTCATCTGTGTCGGATCTGTTGGCATCCCCCTGAGCCCCAAAAGGCACAAGGCAGACATGAGAGCCTCGAGAGTGAGTAATATTCAACCCCAGGACAGAATACTGGGCTGATGTGGGAAGTAGGGCACTGAGGGAAGGACCCAGAGAGCAAGGTCACTGTATGGGACAGGTGGTGGGTGGACAGATCTGGCCTTTTCAAGCCTGTCCAGACAGGACCCCACCCACCATGCTGGGACTCCTGTCTCCTCGGCCTGGAAGCCCCCACCCCCCCGCTCCTGGCCACCTCACCTCTGCCTGGAAGCCCTCCACCAGGATGGCCACCAGCAAGTTGAAGAGCACATAGTTGCCAAAAGTCATCAGAGCCACAAAGTAGAGGGCGGCCCAGGAGGAGGTGGAGGCCATGCCATTGTAGAGGACCACATTCCAGTCCTCCTGGGTCAGGATCTGGAGAGATATTGGGGCGGCATGGGCTGGTCAGTCCAGCCCTGGACAAACCGGCAAGTCCTCAGGACGGAGGCAGCTCTGGACTAGCAAGGAGGCCACATTCTCCTCCCTGGGGACCGGGTTCAGAGCCCCACCACCATGTCGGTTCCTCAGTGGCTCATCCCTCTGCCATTCCAGGGACCCTCAGGCCCTACCTGGAACACAGTCACAATGGCCCATAGCAGGGAGTCAAAGTTCTTCCTGTCAGGGACAGTGTCTCCGGTGTCTGTCTTCAGGCTGAACTTGCAGCCAAAGAGGTGCATGCCCAGGATGCTGGGGGTGGGAGGCAGGGCTGTGCTAAGTGGAGGAGATGGTGGCTTACAACCATCTCTGCTCCATCTGGTTGCCCTGAGCTTTCTGGCTGAGAAGAGACTTCCAACCCCCACAGACAAGCAATTTCTGTTCTATAGGTGAGAAGTCTATGGCCAGAGATGGATGGACACACGGTGGCCACTCTGGCTTTGGGCAGCGGCTGGGACCTGGGACATCTGCCTCTCTCTGGGCTGCAAGAACCCAGCCCACCTGGGCTGCCCACTCTCCAGTCCATCTCAATCCTGAGCCTGGGCCAGCCTGGCACCCAGCAGGAGCTCACCACACCCCAGCTGGAACCTGCCCACCCTCCGCCAGCTCTTCTTTGAGCCAGTGCCTGACTTGCAGCCTGGGGGGTGCTTATCTGCAAATAACCCCATCTGACCCCCCACACACCTAGCACCTGGCACTCAGTAGATGCCCAATCAATGCTGCTGAAATGAAGGCAATAGAGACTGAGTTTCTGCAGCTAGTCCAGGGCAGGTGGTGGGGAAGCGTCCTCCCTGGAGGGCTCCATAACCCGGCCTTTGCCTCCCAGCTGCCCTTGGAGTGAGACAACCCTTAGCCTCACCCACCTGAAAATGAAGATGAAGAGCATAAGCAGCATGCAGAAGGTGGCCACGTTGTCCATGGTCTTCACCAGCACCACTAGCTGGCGCCGCAGTGCTGGCAGGAAGCGCACCAGCTTCAGCACACGCAGCAGCCGGAAGGTGCGCAGCACTGACAGGCCACCATCCGCTTGCCCTACAATCTCCCAGACACTGTGGATGGGCACCAGGGTGAGGGTCGGAGTCCCAATCCCTGACCCCAGGTCCGTCTCATCCTGGAAGCAAGGTCACTAGCCTGGAAGCCATGGTGGCCTGTGCCGCATCCCTTGGATGGGAAGCAGGTTCAGCTGCCTCAAGTGACATGAGGGGGGCTGCAGAAGTCACCCGATCAGCTGTCGTCCCCCCCCCCGGAACGCCTGGCTCTGACCAGGTCAGGGAAGCTCCTGAATTGAGGGTTCTCCTGCCCCAAGCCCTTCATAGCTGCTGGCTTGACTGTTCTCACTCACCCTGCCCTGCCAGGGTGTAAGACCCCTCACTTCTTGGGCTCAGTTCCTGCTGGGGAGAATTTCCCCTAAAATCCACTCGATCCTTTCTGGTTTGACTTCATTGCAGCAAATGCCCCCAGAGGGAGATGTGATTCAGCGTTTTAAACTGGTCTTTCTTGCAGGGCCTGAGCCCTAAACAGCTCAGTCCAGAGGCTGAAAGGCTGGCAGGCGAGCGCTCTGTTCCTGCAGGGAATGGCTCCACTAGGTTCTAGAAGCATCCATCTGATATGCAGCGGATCTAGCAGTATGTACCCAGGAGTGCCCGCAGGGAGGTACTCAAATCCCAGGAAGGGAACTCTTGCCCAGGTCACCAAAACCCGTTCCCAAAGCCTGCCATGAAGTGTTGTCATCAGTGCTTCTTCCTGTGGGTGGGGGTTTGCTCCACGGGTGGGTTTCTGCCTGAACTTCCCAGGCTCCTGAGTGGGCAAGGAACAGGGACCCACCTGATAACTACGATGATGCCATCAAAGATGTTGTAGGGGTTCTGGATGTAGCCCAGTGGGCTGCAGGCTAGCAGCTTCAATAGCATCTCCAGGGCAAACATGCTGGTGAACACGATGTTACTGATCTCCAGGGCATTGGTCAGCTCCTCTGGCTGTGGGCAGAGGTAGGTAGTTGGCTGGGGGATGTTGGGGGCCCTGCTCGTGGCACCACCACTCCTCAGCACTGAGCTCGAAGCAGGTCCAGCTGCATCAAGAACCCAAGGGGCTGGGGTAGGACGCAGCAGTATCTCAGAAAGAGCCTAATCAGTCGCTGTCTACAGAGGACCCTGGGGGCATGCCCTCCAATGGATGCCTGGCCTGGCTGGCTTCCTCCCTTGACTGTCCCTGGCTCCCCCAGGCCCTGCCTGACTGTCCTACTCTCACGTCAAGTTACCAGGCTGCTGGAGGCCCCTACATGCTCCCCAGACCCACAAGTGCGGACTGCCAGGGACAGGGTCCCAGGCGTTTGTGCGAGGCACCCGGGGTGGTCTGTGGGGGTACCGCAGGGGTGCTGTCAGCAGAGGAAGCACCTACCTTGCCTCTGGTGGCCTCACCTACCTTGCCTCTGGTGGCCTCACCCACCCTTCTCATCTGCAGAAGGACCTGAAGGCCTTTCTTCCTGGTACGTGTGGACTCACCTGTGTGTGTGCATACCTGCACGTGTGGGTGTGTCTGCGTGTGGCAGATTTGTGTGTGTTTGTGTCAGTATGTACTGGTAGCTGCCTACATGTGCATGCCTGTACACATGTATGCATGTGCATGTCCACACATGTGGGTGAGCCTTCCATGGGTATGTACTGTGTAATGGGCCCACACATGAACAAACATGTGTGCATGCAGAGGCTCTTCTTGACCAGGGAGGCCCTGGAGTCCATCGCCATCCTTACCATGGGACGAGACAGCAGCCCTGCCTCGGCCTGCCCTGGGCTAACAGTATGTAGGTGCTCTCTAAATAGCTCCACCAGAACAGAACTGCCTCAGGACATGGGCAAACGCAAAGTGAGAGATGACATCAATTTGGCTGGGAAAAGTGGACTTAGCAGGGATGGCAGTAGGAAGTGCTCAGTCCTCTCAGAGGGCGCCTCTTCCTGATGGACCCCAGCAGCCCATCCCCACCCCTGGTGGCCCCAGCCCAGGTGGGAGCTGAGGAGGACTAGCCATGCGTGATCTACAGCACCAAGGGGGCCAGGTGCCAGCCCCACTGGCCTTTTCTGGTCACCTAGGGGAACCTCAGCAGACATGGCCAAGGAGTCTGCGTCATTTAATGTGGGAGCCTTTCTGCAAAAGCTAGGCCAGAGAGGTCCTGAGAAAAACATATTCATGGGTCAAGGTGGCCATGTGAATGTCCTTGGGCCCCTACACCTTGAGGTACCCTCATTCTTGAGGATCTCTGATGGTCTCACCGCCCCCACCCCACAACGAGAGAACCAGTGAGCCACAGTCATGATCCAAGGGGGCCCAAGGGGGAGTCGAGTGTTTGCTGAGTGAGGGATATAAATTTTCATAGCAGACAATGTCCTGGCTCCAAAACCATCCCAGTCCCACCCCATAGGCCCTCTAGAAGGCTGAAATCCTGAGGAAACACACAAGGGATGTGTTCCTGGCTAACAATCATGTCCTGGACCCTTATTCCCAGACTGCCTTACCTGCTCATGGTGTTCCACGCCCATGCTCAGTGTGTTGACAAGAATGGCCATCATGATGCCACGGTTGAAATACTTGCTGTCCACAATGCGGCGCAGCCTGCCGCTGAAGGTGGCCCAGAGACGGCCCCGCCTGCCCAGTTCACCTGAGGCCAATGGCCGTCGTGCTCGCTGCTGTGGACTGCCCGGGCCTGATGCTTCTGCCATAGGGGATGGCTGCATGGGGTCTCGGCGGTCACCGTGCCGCACATCCTGCGTGAACTCATACACCCCGTGGCTGTCTGAGTCTCCGCTGTCTGAGCCACTGAGCTCACCCTCAGGGTCCTCCAAGGCACGGGTGCAGTATGGGCAGCTCTTCAGTTCACAAGTTAGTGTGCCCGCCGGAGGGCTGGGCAGGGGGCAGGGCACGCTCAGGCCCGACAGGTGGCTGGAGGCCCGGCCTAGTCCTGCAGAAGTGCATGGACAGGGTCAGCCCCGCTCAGCCAAGCTGCTGGGGCCCAGGAACCCACATCTACACAAGCGGTGGGGTGAACATGTCTCCTAAAAATATCCACCCAGGTCCTAACTTCCATAACCTGTGAACACAACTCCACATAAAAATAGAGTCTCTGCAGATATAACGAGTTAAGATGAGGCCGTGCTAAAGTTGGGAGAGCTTAACTCATGACTAGTGTCCTCATAAGGAGAACAAAACACACACACACACACACACACACACACACACACACACACAACACGGAGATGACCACTGGAGACTGGAGTGGCAGAGCCCAGGAACCAGGAGAGGTAGGGAGGCCCTCCCCAGAGCCCCCACAGGAACCAGCCCTGCAACACCTTGTTTTGGACTTCTGGTCTCCAGGATGGTGAGAGAGTACACCTCTGCTGTTTTAAGCCACCAGTCTGTGGTACTTTGCTGCAGCAGCCACAGGATGCTAGGACAGCCATGCATGAAGGCACACACCTGGGCACACACCTAAGCACATATATGCATACATTTGAGCACATTCACAGACACCTAGGTCCACACACACTGGGCACATGAACACCTGAGTGCTCATCTGGGCATACTACCCCCCAAAGCTGCACTTCTGCTCACACACAATGTCCTGGCTCCAGAACACACTCACAGGTACAGAGAAGTTTATCCTGGGGCCAGGCTGCCCACAGAAATATAATGCAAGCCACCTTCTGGTAACCACAGCACCCAGGTGAGACTAATGATGATATTCTGTGTAACTCAATTGTGATCAGTCTTATGTGGAATGGACATAAAAATGGCTGATGAGCTGTTCTGCATTGTATTCAGGCTAACCGTTTGGAATTTCGAGGCATCTGACATCCACAGTACATGGTTTGGGTTCCCACGATTCAGGGGCTCCTTGGTCATTTGCATGGCAGCAAAGAGCTAGGAGCATGTACCTATTACACACTCAGTCACACATGCTGGGCACCAGCCCACAAGGACGCGTGGCAGTCAGGCATCCTCACTCACACACAGCTCCACCATGAGGGACACACACGCCCCTGCCTGCTATCTACGTGTTTGCACATAGCCTGGGAGGGCCTCCAAGTCCACACGGAGCCCAACCTTCTGGGGGGCCTGGCATCTCCCAATCAGCTGCCCATCCAAGGTGGGCTAAGATGCAGGAGGACCCCACATCAGCCCCTCTGCTCAACCTTCGATGACTCTTTGACCTTGTCCTCCCCTCTCCTGCTGACCAACCTCAGTCTCCCCACCTAGAAAGAGCCAGCCCCAATGGCCATGAAGGACTCTGCAAGTTCTCCAGGGAAGTGGCCAGGAGTGGCGTGGGCATATGGTCCCTCTCGGGGCCAGGCAGTGGCAATAGGACACAGGCCCAAAAGGTTGTGACAGGTCTTTCTCAGATTCCGAATCCCACTTCCCTGACCCATGCTCATGGCTGCCTGGAGCTTGCTATGAGCTGGGTAGAGGCTATTTCACTAAAGGACAGAGCTGGGCTCATGAGAGCGCCCCCCACCTCGGTCCCACTCGCCTCCCCTGCAGGAAGGGGCTGGGGTCCTCACCATGCTCCCCGACCACGTGCTGGATCTTCTCATAGGGATCAGGGCTACCCAAGCTCAGAGGGCTGTGCCCCCCAGCACCCTGTGGCCCGCTGGCCCGCTCCACCTTGGGTCCCAGACTGGTGCCACCTTTGCCGCTGCCTGCCCCTGAGGGCAGGATAGTGGGGTAGTTCATGGCTCCCAGACCTGTGGCCAACTTCAGGCTGGCGGCAGCAGTGGCTGCGGTGTGTGCCACCCGGGCCCTCTCCTGAGGCCCCTCCACGTGGCAGTCGGCATGGTAGATACTGTGTACAGACTCTGTGTCGGGTGGCCTGCGGCCTGGGGAGGGTGGTGAGGGGGGTACACCAGCCCTCACCAGCCTGGTATCGCCTGGGCCCGGCTCAGGCCTGCGCGGGCTGCCGTGGCTGAAGTGGTAGTGGTGATGGTGGTGGTGGTGGTGGTGGTAGATCAGGTGGTGGACCGAGGCTGCACGCCTGCCCGCCCGGCGCTGCCGCCGTCCAGGGCCCTGGCTGTGCAGGGTGCTGGGGTCCACCCTCTTACGCCAGCGGTTCTGCCAGCGGGCATAGAGGCGCAGGCTGCGCCGCTTGACCTTGCGAAAGACGTGGCCCACATACTTCAGCAGCTCCTCGTAGCAGCTGCCCGGCTCCGAAAAGCTGGCCAACGTGCTGTCGTTGGATCTGTGACACGCCCGCTGCTCTCGCATCAGCTGGCTCTCCCGCTGCTTCGTCTCAGAGAACTGTGTGGCGATCACCACCAGGCACAGGTTGATCATGAAGAAGGAGCCCACCTGTGGTGGGCAAGCAGGCAGCAGTGAGCAAGTGCATCATGGATGCCACACTGACACTCCTGCTTGCCGCCCGTTCCGGGCCAGGGCCACGCTGTGCCCAGAACCTGCAGGGGCGCCCTGCGGTGGGTGGAGGCCTTGAGGTATTCCATGCTGAGCCCCAGTACCCAGTGCAGGCAGCACCCAGGAGGCACACTGTGCCTATCTGCAAGATGGAAGGAGCACCTGGAGCCCTCTTTCCTGGTCAGCAGTCTATCCTCGACATGACCCTCTCCCCTCCCCAGCCCCCGAAACCTAGTCTCCTTAGCATGGGCCACAGCATGACAGTTTTCCTGGTCTGTTCTCCATGCTTGCTGTCTGAGAACAAGGTGGGGATGTCTGTCTGCTTCTGTGACCCGTTGGGTCTTCACAGGGCAGTGCCTGGCACCGGGTTGTGGGAGGCACAAACAGCACAGGTGTTTGTGGTTAATTGACAGACCTGATCCTGCAGGGACACCATGAAGTCGTAGAGATCAAATAAGGGATGTGCCTAGGGCCGTGTACACCGTGGAGGGCTGCACCTGGGGGCCATGTGCACCCCAAGAGGTGGTCCCGGCTCTCCTACAGCCTCCAGATGGCACCAGGAAAGCCTGGGTCTTGCCTGAGCAGTCACGAGGACTCCCAGCCTCCTAGCCGCACCCTCCATCTGCCAGCTTCCTCCACTGTCCACTTCCGCTGGAAGCTGAAGAGAAGGCCCCCGACCACCCCGGGCCTCTCACCCCACTGGCTCTGCCCCCCGCAGCCCCGCGTGCCGGCATCATGAAGGCCGCCGCCCACACTCACGATGATGAGCAGGATGAAATAGATGAAGTTGTAGAACGAGTGGGCATCCATAACATAGTACATAATGTCCACCCAGCCTTCCAGCGTGATCACCTGGGGAGGGCGGCAGCTGGACACCAGGCCCACATGGCCCTTCCCTCTTCCCCGCCCCTCGGGTAGGACTGGGGGCAGGCCCACCACCCGCATCCCCGCCGCAAATGAGGTGCCCTGCCACAGGCACCCCCCAAGGATCCCCATCCCACTCTCTTGGTGCCCCGCTGTGGATGAGGAGACCGGGGCCACAGGAAGGTGTGGCCACCCACCTGAAAGATGGCGATCCAAGCATAGCCGATGTTGTCGAAGTTGATGGCGCCATTGTGAGGGTTGGAGTCACCCGAGCGGCACACGTTGTAGTACTGGTTCCAGTTGATGCAGGCGTTGCGGGCAGTGCCGCCAGCACCCTCGGCCTGTGGCTGCCCGTAGGCCTCCCAGCCCAGGGTGCAGGGCACACGCAGCTCGCGGCGGCTAGGGATGTGTGAACACTTCTGCATGCCATTGTCGCGGCGCGAAGAGCAGATGAACGGGTTCTCCTCACCCTCCTCCGTCTGGTAGTATGGCCGTAGGAAGGTCAAGTTGTTGTTCCTGGGAGGGCATGGCCAGCGTCAGGGTTAGGGGCACACAGTCAGGGTTGGGGGTATGGTCAGGGTCAGAATGGGGGGCACAGTCAGCATCGGGGAGCATGGTCAGGGTCGGGATTACACCCAGAATCAGGGGGCACGTCTAGGGTTGAGGAACATGTCCAGGGTCAGGGGCACGGTCAGGGTCAAGATCAGAGCCCAGATGAGGAAGAATGTGGGTCTTGACTCCTCCATCCTTTTGCCTTCCAGGGGCAAAAGCAGACAGAAGGCAGAAGCCCCACTCAAAATGCTGATGTTCAGGAAGAGGGTGGAGTGGAGTGGTCCTGGGGGCCACCCAGGTGGGTGTCAAGGAAGTTGGGGGTGGGTCTGAGAGAAGGGAACATTGGTGGTTGAGGGGAGGGGACACAAGAGGTGAGTCTGAGGGGAAGGAACTCCAAGGGTGGGTCAGAGGGGAGGGGTCCCGGGGCGGGTCTAGGGGAGGGGTCACAGGGGCATGTCTGAGGAGAAGGGACCCTGGGGTGGGTTTGAAGAGGCGGTCCCAGGGTGGATCTAAAGGAGGGGACCCCAGGACATGTCTGAGGGAGTGTCCCGGGGGGTCTAGGGGAGGGAACCCCAAGGGTGGGTGTGAGGGGAGGGGATCCTGAGGTGGTCTGAGAGGAGGGGACCCCGAGGGGGGTCTGAGAGGAGGGGATCCCAAGGGTGGGTCTGAGGAGAGGGGACCTCGAGGTGGTCTGACAGGGCGGGACCCCGGGGGGTCTGAGGATAGGGGACCCCCTGGGAGTCTGAAGGGAGGGAACCCCAGTGGCAGGTCTGATGAGAAGGGCCTCCAGAGGCGGGTCTAGAGGAGGGAACGCCGGGGAGAGTCTGAGGGAAGGGCCCTCTCTAAGGCCTGATGGGAGAGGACCACCTAAGAAGCGTCTGAGCAGCGTCCATCAAGGGCTTGCAGCCTAACCGGCGGGTGGTGATCCACGAGTAGGGCATCATGCTGGGCTTTGACTCCCACTAACTGGGCCTCCTATGAGGCAGGGTCCCCGCCAAGACGGAGCCTCTCATTGGGTGAGACCTCAGGGTGGGCGGGGCCTCTTATTGGGCATGGCCTCCTGCGAGGCAGGTCCAGACATGGGCAGGGCCTCTTAGTGGGCGCGGTCTCGCTTGGCGCCATCTTCCAGCTTCCATGACAGCCCTCCCACGGGTGGGGCCTCCCGTGGGGCGAAGCCATACTGGGCGGGGCCTCCCACCTGACGAAGGTGCTGTCCAGGAAGCAGCGGTTCCGCAGCAGGCCAGCCCAGAGCTGGACGCCAACGATGCCGAAGATGAAGAAGACGAAGAAGCAGAGCAGAAGGACATTCCCAAGCATGGGCAGCGTGTCCAGCAGCAAGGTGACCAGGATCCGCATGCCTGCGGGGGCGGGGCTGGCCTCAGCCCTGCGGAGCCCTCCCTTGAGCCCTGAGCCCTGCCCCCATCACCTGCAGGCGTCCAGGCCCTCTGCATGCTCACACAGGTGCGGGAGCCCTCAGATGACGTGTACAGGGCCCGCCAGGCCCAGAGCTCCCCCTGCCTCCACACCCGAGGCAGATCTGAGCACTGAGGGAGGCTGGTCCCTGCTGCCCTTGGCGGGCTGAGCAAGCCTTAGGGGTGCTTCCCCCAGGACCTGCTAGAGCCGAGGCCCAGGCTAGGGCCTTGGAAGAAGGCAGGGTGCCCAGGCTGCGTGACATAACACCTGGGAGTGGCTATGGCAACTGGGCCCTTGGGATCGCAGCAGGGGGCAGAGTCCGGGGGGCAATGAAGCAAGCAACCAAGAGGAAGACATCGTCAAGGACAGAAAATCAATGTCACTGTCCTGGCCCGACAGCAACTGGCTCAAAGATCACTTATGACCCAGTAGTCAGAGTGGACCCCAGGCAGAGAGAATGGGAGGCAGCTCTGAATGTGTCCTGGAACTCATTATGAGGAGCACATGGTCCAGTCCTAGAAGCCTGTCCCCCGGAAGAGGCCAGTCTGCAGGGGCCGTCCTGGGAACTTAACCTGCGAAGTTCACACCCGTGGAAGGGGGCTGTGCTAGGGTGCTCACTGTGTCGGTTGGTGGGCCCAGGCAGAGGGGCCGCTGGCTCCCTGTTGAGTAGACTGAGCAGCACTGAGTGCCAAATGCTGGGCCGAGGGCCATGCGTGCATCTCCCACCTCAACTCAGTCACTCTTGGAGTCAGGAGTTCCCCTGTTCTCCGTGTTACAGTTGGGAAAACCGAGTCTCCAAGAAGCCCAATGACTCAGTCACTCTTGGAGTCAGGAGTTCCCCTGTCCTCCGTGTTACAGTTGGGAAAACCGAGTCTCCAAGAAGCCCAATGACTCACACAGGGCCACACAGCATCTGAACCCTGTCTGTCCCACAAGGGTGGAGGTGGCAGGCAGGTGGAAGGAAGACAGCACTGCTCCATCCCACCTGCTCCTGGGTGAACCTGGTGGCCTCAGGGGAGGGAGCGCCCATCCTGGGGCTGCACCACACTGGGAGGGAATGTGTAACCCTGAGGGGGCTGCAGACAAGCCCTGAGTGCCAAGGCCACCCAGACCGGGTCTAGGTACTGGAGAGACCACATGCATCCCCACAGGTCACACACAGATGCACACCTGCGTATGTGTGCACACACCCCACACCACCCACTCCCGGAAGTGGAGCAGCAGGATTCAGCCACAGCCCTGCATGTTCTGAAGGAAACCCTACCCGTCCTTCCTGCAGATGGAGGCCAGAGCATGGGTGGGCTCCCTCCCAAACAGGTGGCTCCTGGCGTCCTCCCGTCTGCCCACATGCAGACACATAGCGGGTCCTCTTCCGCCACCCCTCTCCACTGCTGACCTGGGTCAGGAGAACTCTGGCCTCCCTGTGGCACCAGACCCTGGGGTCCAGTTTGGCTGCAGGGTCAGCTGCTCAGAGGGGCCATCTCCCGGGCCAGCAGAGCCAGGCAGCTCCCTGCTTCCCTTGGATGCAGCTACTGGCAGGAGGGTGGGGGCCAGAGGTGGTAGAGGGGCTGTCCTCAGGGCAGTGTCTGGCCCCTCCTTCTCAGTCCCCTCTAAGTGGCTGCTCACCTGGGAGGCAAGAGTGGGCTGCACAGACCCTCAGGAGAGCCGAGCCCACTCACGTGTGTCCACCAGCCTCGAGTCACACTGGGGTGGCCACGCAGTAAAGCCACTGGGGATCGGCCCAGCCCCCGGCCTTGCCCCCGATGCCACACAGATGAGAGTTCAGAGTGGCCCGATCCCTTGGCAGGAGCCAGGACCTTGCAACTGCCGACTGCCCACCATGCCTCAGCTCAACACTCCCCAGGAAGGTAGCCTGGGAAGGGGCCCATATCTGGTGGCAGCGGTCACATCTGGCCCTCCAGTGCTGGGGTCTGGGCTGGGGCCGAGTGCCCAGGGGCCCTCCTGCCCAGTCCCGTGCTCCTGGGAGCCCGTACCAGGCAAGAGGGACACACAGGCCGCCTGCATCGCAGGGCAGGGCTGGCTCACTCACTGGGCACGCGGTTGATGGCGCGGAGGGGCCGCAGCACACGCACGGTCCGGATGGCAGAGAGGCTCACGTTGTGTCCATCTAGGGAGTACTCCATCATGCTGGGGGAGGGGTGGAGGCTCAGCAAATGGGTGGGTAGCCAGGAGGCCGGGATGGGGGTGCAGAGCTGGGCCCAGAGAAAGGAGCCACCCTCACCCCAGGCCTTGCACATGCTCGGATGTCCTGAGGCAGGAGGAGCACAGTGCTTGGTCCCACGGGGGCCCCTCAGGACTCACAAGCCACTGGAGTCCTGACGCTCCCGCTACCCGCACAGGGCGATGGTGCCTGCCCCCAAGCACTCCCTGACCTGTACCAGGAGGGTCTTGCGGCCCCTCGGGGTTCTGCTCCGCCCAGGCCCTCCAGTGCACACCCCGCCTCTCCTCGCAGGCAGAGCCAGGGTCCCTGCAAGGCGGCGCCTACCCCGCCATGACGATGAAGAAGTCCAGCCTGTTCCACGTGTCACCCAGGTAGCACTTCTGCCCAAACAGGCCTAGGGCCACCATCTTGATGACCATCTCCACCGCGAAGAAGGCGAAGATGAAGTCGTCGAAGGCCTGCAGCCGGAGGGAGGGGTCGGGAGGGCCGCACCGTGGGGCTAGCCCACCCCACACCCAGCTGCCGCCCCTGAGCCCGCCATCCCCTGGCCCTCATCCCTCCCTGGACCCACTTGCCCCCTTCCATCCTCCAGCTGGCTCTCCTCTCCCCCCAGGCCCCCCATCCCCAACAGTATACCTCCAAGATGTTGCAGCGCTCCGAGTGGCACTCGACGTCCTCACAGGGCCGGAACATGCCCAGGGTCACGCAGTTAAGCATGATGACCAGCATGCTTATGTGCTCGAACCACGTGCTGGCATGCGGGTTAAGGACCATGGGGAGTGCGACCCACCGCCTCAATGCCCCCTCTGCCATCTGCACAGGCCCCAGGCACCCACTGATGGACCGGCGTGGCCCTTGCCATGGCGCCAACACGGGGGGCTGTCCAGCCTGGGGTGGGGCCTTGGCCTTGTTCCCACCCTTGTACCTGGTCCCGCCACCTGGACCCCAGGCTGGCTGCCAGGACCGCGCCGCTAGGGAGAGCCAGTGTCCCAGAGGCAGCCACCAGGTGGCACCGGTGCTCCACGCTTGGCAGAGCTTGTCTCCAACAGTAGCCTGCCACAGTCCAGGTCCACAGCCCCAAGTTGGCGTCCGGGGGAGCAGGCGCAGGAGCCCTGCCCAGGATGGGGTCAGGCCGTATGCCTTCCTCACTGGGTCTGCAGAGGTGCAGGGGCCCATCCACCTGCCTCCCACATCGAAAACCCCCATAGTCCAGTCTGCCGCACACTGGGGATGGGCTTTCCATGATCGCTTTCCTGGGTGTCTGCCCCACCCCAGCTAGAGGACAAGGAGGCCAGCCACAGGGTGACCTTCCTTAAAGACGCCGGCACTTGGAAAACACCAGCTTGTCAGCAAACAGACTGGGAAATCATCATGGCTCTGTAGTCCCGTCTGCCCCACGCCCCGGGGACCTGCAGGCATGACAGGCACAGGCATCCACTCCACAGCTGGCTGGGGAGCAGATCCGAACCTAGCTCTGGGCTTGGGCTGGGTTCTGCCCTATGCTACGGCACTTCCCCACAGGGGACCTTGGCTAGGTCATGGCTTTGGCTCTGAACCACTGTGTGGGGCACTAGGTTGGGGTCGGTATGGCCCCAACTCCCAGAGCTCAGGGCAACAGGGACAGCTAGGATGAGATCAGAGTCAGGGACGTGCCCTCAGGAGGCTCAAGGACTTCTTGAGAGGTGAAGGGACTGGCAGTGAGGGACCTGGAGCATGCCTGGGCCCCCTCACGCACACCCCTGGCCCAAGGAGGCAGTCTGCCACCCCTCAAGAACCCCAGTCTCTAGACAGGCCAACGCCCGATGCGCTGCAGCCCCTGGCCACATGGCGCCATGGCTCCAGGCCACCGATGTGATGCCACGTTCCTGCCCAGAGAGTCATAATTACACTGAGTGGGCTCCACGGCAACAAGTGCCTCTGCCCTGAGGTGGTTTTGGAAAAACAGAAGTCAGCCTCTCCCCAGGACAACCACACTGGGGTCTGCAGGCCCTCTGGACACACAACTGTCCCCTGCCCTATGGGAGGGTGGGCAGGCCGCAGTCATGTTGGCACCACTCACCCACCAAGCACCCGCTATGTGCCAGCAGCACACACGGTCCTGTCACAGCCATCAGGATGAGACTCGTCATGTGCTGTTCTCTTGTGCCATCCTCCCCTCTGGACCGGCAGGCTGGGAGAGGGGTGGGAGGACCCGCTGAGGTGAGTGTCCAGGCTGTGCTCACAGGCCCTATGCCTTCAGCCTCTCCTAGCCTTCTAACCCTGCTCCAACACCAGGGAGCTGTGGTGGCAGTGGCTCTATCTTCCCCCTGCCCCTACCCAGGCACCTTTGTCCCTTAACTGCTGCAAATAGCACTTTTCTGCAGAGTGGAGGTGACCGTCTTTGTGCATCTCCAAGGACTGTCACTTGGGGGAGGGGGAGGTTCCTGGCTAAATGGAACAGGCTGTGGGGAAGGAGCTTGGAGCCAGAAGAGGACGCTGACAGAAGCTGCACTCAGGAGGAATGACGAGCCCACCCAGGAGGGGCTCCCTGGCCAGAGGCCCAAAGCATGAGCCCAGCGGGGACAGGAGCACGTCCAGGTCTAGTGGCTGCTTGCAGGGGGCCTGCTGGGACCCTGGCCCACAGAGTTGACGGCATCCAAAGCCCAGGGCTGTTCTGTGCCAGGACCTGAGAGCCACTCACACCCTACTCATGGTGCTGGCAGACTGAGTGGGCCACCCCCTCACAGCAGCTCAGGACCCCAGGACAAGGGCCTACCTCGACACCTTTGTCTCCTCTGCTAGGCCACTGAGACCCTGTTCGGAGAGGGGGCAGCCCACTCAAGGAGGCCACCTAGAGAGCTAGGCCAGCTCCTGTGTGGGCACCGGCCTTCACGTGCCACACCATCCCCTGGCCACGATTCTGTGGGCAGCTGAGGACAGACGAGGCCAGCCAGTCAGGTCGCACAGAGCCTGGTGATTTCCGAAGGCTTAATTACACAGATGGACTTTCTGGGCTTTAATTAAAAATTCCTTTAGATTTCAAACCACTTCTACAAATGACAATTTCCACTGCAGGACAGAGAAAGCCAGACTCATGTAGGCCGGGAGCCGGGAGGACCAGGCACTTGGCCAGGTGGGGCCGTGCAGATGGGGCTGTGGTCTCTGCCACAGGGGATCCCTCAGGCAAGAGGGCTCCACCAGGCCCCGGTGTCCAGCCTGGGGGACAACCTCCCTGGGAGCTCTCCCATCTGTGCAGGATGGGACTCATATACAAGAGGTAGGCGGGGTCCTGTCCATCAAGGGACGCCTCAAACGCAGTGCCTACTTTGTTGGTCCCACACTTCAACTGTCAGGCTCTCCAGGGTCCCACCAGGCACAGCCCAGCCCATCCCCCTCCTACCTTCCTGCTCTTAACTCTGGGGCTCGGTGGGAGCTGGCCCCCACTTCTGGGGCCCACCAAGGGCCTCCCCAGCTGGTCCCAGGGAAGAAAACCTCCTGCTGGGCTGCTTCAGGGCACCAGCTCTTCCTCTCTGGGGAACATGACACCTTTTCTCAACCTGCGGGCTTCCTGCTATAGTCATGCTCCAGGGCTACCCCTTCTTCTGTGGTCGGAAGTCCCCCTTCCCACTGGGTTGCTCACCCCGTGTTGCCGGCAGCCAGGCCGCCACGCCAAAGCACACAACCCACTCGCAGACCTCTCAAGCCACAGCGGGGGCTCTCCAAGGAGCTCAGCTCCCGCCAGCCCCAAATGCGCGGCAAGTCAGGAGGCGGCCCTGGAGGGCGGCGCTGGTGACGGCCGCTGTCCGTGGTGCTGAAGCGGCATGCCACCTGGGGGCTGTCCTGGGCGTGCTGGGGCAGTCCGCCAGGGCCGAGGGAGGGGCCTCGCGGACTGGGGTTCCCAGGAAATGGCTCCCTTGATCCATCCTTCATTCATTCTTCCTCACTCAGGGGGCTCAGAAGGACCTGGCACACAATGGCTACTCTCGCAGGTCCAGTGTTGAGAGGGCGGCTCTGAGGACGTCCATGTCCCCTGCCCCGGGGGTTGGTCTGGGGGCTCCAGGGGTGCTGCCTCCCTTGGAATGCAGTGAGACCCACATGCCCCTTTGCTGGATGAGGGGAGAGGTCACACCCATGGGAACGCCCTGGGACGGGAGCAACCCTGGGCAATTGCTGTTCATGCTGCACCCGAGATGCGGGGACCTGGGATGCTGAGGGGGCAGGAGCAAGCCTCAGGGCTGCTCAGCTGACATCAGGAGCTGCCAGACCACCCAGCAACAGCCCAGCTGGGCCCCGAATGCTGTGAACCCTCTCCCCAGCAACGTATCTCCAGGGTCCTGGGCCGGCACGGGGTCTTAAGTGCAGCCTGTGTGGTGAAGGACAGTGTGGTCCTAAGGGTGAACCTGAACCACCCAGACCCCAATCTTTGGTAACATGTAGCTCCCTGGACCCACCCATGCCTGCTGGCTCAAGATGTCCCAGGCTGGGGTCTCCCTGACCTCAGTGACTCATGCCAGGGACACACCCTGACCCTGACCCTACCTCTTCACCCCTTCTGAGCCTGTTTCCCCATCTGCACAACGGGCTGATGACGCTTTCACCTTTCTGTGGCCTCAGGGCTTCAGTCTCTCTCCTCTCCTCCTGAGGGCTCAGTCAGACCTCCGCTGGCTGTGGACCAGCATCTGACCATGCCAAGGCCTCTGTCTCAGGAGGAAGGTCAGGACAGGACGGACGTTCCCAGGGAGGGTCACCGAGACATAGCCAAGGCCCCAGAGCATACTGGCCTCAGTTCCACAGGCCCACAAGGCAGTGACAGCGCTAGCCGGACAAGGAGCTGCCCTACCCCCTTCTCTGTGGCCCGAGTGGCCCCCCAGGCAGGGCTGCAGGGTCAGGGCTCCCTGTGGGGCTGCAGTATAAAATCAGGTAGGAGGCCGCTGAGCTGTACAGCAGGAGGATTAGTGCCTGCTGCCCCCACGCGCCACCAGCCCCCAGAGCAATCTGCTCAACAGCTAAGCTCCATTAGGACAAATCTGGAACAGCTGGGACAGCGTCCTCGCGCCTGGGCAGAGGTGGGCGAAGAGGGCACCGGCAGCGGGAAGGGGGAGCCACCACCTCAATCCCCACACCCATGGCAAGGGTCACACACAGCTGGCTCCCAAGCGGCCAGGACACTGGGGCATGTCCCCTCCCCACCTGGACCCTACCTGGGCAAGCCTCCCCTACCCAGGCCACCCCTGTGCTGGCTACCCCCGTGCCTGGCTGTGCTCTTAAGCACTCAACCCCGCTTCTCCTATTTGCTCAAGGAGGGCCCATGCTCATTCACAGGTGAAACCGAAGCCTGCAGAAGCCATCACCACACACGGAGGCAGGGAGGATGGAGTGGGCACGAACCTAGGAGCATCAGCTCAGGTGCTGCATCAAATGCCCCCCAAGGAGCTGAACCGGCTGCAGAGGGCAGCACGGGAGAACCCAGGGACTGGCCCGTCCCAGAGCCAAGTGTTCTGACCCGCCCCCCAGCATGTGCTCCAGACACCCGACAGGTCACCGTGGTGGGGGACCCTGGAGTCCGTCCGTCCCATATGAGAAAGGAGACCCGGTGGTCGTGGCCCAAGAGTCAGGCACACTGGCTGTCAGAACAGTCAGAGGGGGGAAGGTATCTGTGGACTCATGGCCATTCACAAGGCCAAGGCAGCACCGTCTGTCTGAATGAGGATAGTCATGTCTAGGGCCCATGGCGGGGGAAGGGACGAGGAGGAGGGTGAGCAGGACATG